TCCCCCCCCCCCCCTCCCGGGACTCCAGGGCCGCCATCAAGGCAGAGGGACAGGAAGAAGGCCGGGGAGAGCTCGGGTCCCCACAGCCTCGCCACCCGGACCTTACTCGGCACACGGTGGGTAAACTGAGCCTCAGATAGAAGGGCTGTGAACTCAGGTGCACACAGACTGACAGCAATGGTCACTGAGTGACTGCAGGGGCACAGAGACCCAGAGAGGGGGAGAGACCTAGAGAGAGGGACAGAGACCTAGAGAAAGGGGGGGGACAGGGACCCAGAGAGGGGACAGAGGCCCAGAGAGGGGGACAGAGATGCAGAGAGGGGGACGGGACAGAGACCCAGAGAAGGGGAGAGACCCACGGAGGGGGACAGAGACCCAGGAAGGGGAACAGACTCATAGAGGGGGACAGAGACCCAGAGAAAGAGGGACAGAGACTCAGAGAGGAGACAGAGGCCCAGAGAGGGGGGGACAGACTCAGAGAGGGGAACAGAGACACAGAGGGGGGACAGAGACCCAGAGAATGGGGGACAGAGACTCAGAGAGGGGGGAGACCCAAAAAGGGGGTCAGAGACTCAGAGATGGGGACAGACTCGGAGGGACAGAGACCCAGAGAAGGGGGACAGAGACCCAGAGAAGGGGGACAGAGACCCAGGGAGGGAGACAGAGACCCGGAGAGAGGGACGGAGACCCGGATAGGGGGACAGAGACCCGGAGAGAGGGACAGAGACCCAGAGAGGGAGACAGAGACCCGGAGAGAGGGACAGAGACCCGGAGAGAGGAACAGAAACCCAGAGAGAGGGACAGAGACCCGGATAGGGGCACAGAGACCCATGGGAGGGGCAGAGAGCCTGAGGAAACGGCGACCCCGGCCCTGGTTTAACTAACTCGGACATGCCTGGACTGAGGGCGCCGTGTGTGTGAATGGCAAGTCTTGGGAACAGCCACGTGGTCGTTACCATTTCTCGCTCCTTTGGCAGACGGGGACACTGAGGCCCAGGGACGGGGCTGCAGTCCTCCTAACGGCCTGGCTTCCACAGGGCGAGATGCCAGCCACACCCTCCCCATGCTAGGATCCCTCCACCTCCAGGATGGGGAGGCTCTGGAAGGCGAGGGGGCAGGGCCACAGGCCTGGGGGAGCCCTCCGGAGCCCGGGAGGTGGGAGGTACCTGAGGGTGGCGTTGTCGCCTTCGCACACCGTGTAGTTGTCAGCAGGAGAGTTAAACTCGAGGCTCTGGGACAGCAGCCCTGCAGAAGAGGTTGGCTGAGCCTCTGCAGCCCAGATAGGGCCTGAACACTCCAGGGACTGCGCCTGCGGGCAGGCCCACGGCACTCGCCCACGGCACACACACTCCCTCCTGGAGCAGACACCCCCACACCACCACCCGCGTTCACTGACGCCCCGAGATGCACTCACGCAGACGCAGAGCACGGCCACACAGCCGTCGTCTTCCCGTGGCCCCGGTGACTCGCAGACAAGGACGGGCAGGCTCACGCGGGCCCACAAACCCACACACATCCAAGCACCCGAGACGGCACTCCCATCATGGCGCACACACACACACATCTGTACAGAGGGACACACACACATGCTCAGAGATGTGTACACAAAACTCAGGCATACAGAAACCCGTGTACACAGACGCACGGATACATAGAAACATGTGTATGCAGACACACACGGTGATTCCAAAATATACCGAAAGGCACACACACGCGGCCAGCTGCATGTAGTCAGCACACACACATATACAGACTTACATACAAGACAGACATTCAGATCAGCACAGACATACGCACACAGTTACACATGTGCACACAACTCATGTCTACACAGACACAGGTGGAGACAGACACATATGCACACAGAAACATGCACGCAGGTACATACTACAGATGACAATGAGTAGAGACCCATGCACACATACGTGCAGAGAGATACAGGTATGCGGCACACATGCATATTCATAGCTACTGTGTACAGAGACAGACATCCATGTGCAGGCTTACAATGACATATGTGCACAGAAATCTGCACATATATTCATGTACACATGCACGGTACATGGCACACACGGATACACACATGCAGTCAAACATTTAAACATACATAGACACACTACACAGGCACAGACTGATGGATATATAGTATGTACACACACTCAGATACACACATACATGTATGTAATGAACACATACCCTCAGAGACGCACTTATACACATGTGTATAAGTACAAAGATACTCACACATACATATATGTACATGCAGTAGTTCAGAGGTACATGGAGAGGCAGACACACAGAGCCATCTGCGTGTTCAACACAGGTGTATGTGCCAGACAGACACGCAGATGGACATAGACGGACATACAAGACAGACACACAGATGGACACTGCCAGCCGGGAAAGACAGACACATTGATCAACACAGACGGACAGGCAGATTGACACATGTGTATATGCAAGACAGATACACAGATCAACACAGATGGACACGCAGGACCGACATACAGATGCCATCTCTCACAGACACACAAACTCCCCCTCAGAGACGTGCCCACCGAGACTCGGCAATGCACACATCAGTGTGGGCATGCCTGTGTGCCTGGCTCACAGGGCCTCTAGCAGGTGCCCGCCACGCCCGCCCATGCCCGCCCACTCCAGCCAGCCGTGTAGGCCCCTCACCCCACCATTTATCTCTGTGGCCAAGGCCCGCGGGCTGGACCTGGGCCAGGGAGGGGCTGGGCTCCGGAGGCGGAGAGGCAAGGAGGCTGGATGACCTTGGGCGCCTGGAGCAGGACGGCCCTGCCCCCAGCCCGGGCGTGAGCTAATTAATCTAATGAATTAATTGCCCGTGCTGCCCTAAGGACTCCCGGGGGTCCTCTCCATCAGCAGCCCCAGGATGGGGCCGGGACAGAGCCAGCCGCAGTGGGCTGGCCGGGCCCTGCCACCCCTCACCCAGGGCTCACACAGGCCAGCGTCACTGCAGGGCTTTGAGGGGTCCAGGGTGGGGCTAGGGGCTCCAGAAATACGCGCATATACTCGGATGTGGACAGCCACGGCTAGCCTCGGTTACAGCGTGAGGCAGCGGGGGTGGACACACACGCCCCAGCAGTCTCCAGGGCCCTGCGAAGCCCAGGCCAGGGAACAGGACCCCCTCTGGGTCTCAGGCATAGCGATGGCCCGCTCAGAGGGACAGGCACGCGCACAGTCACGCTGACACACGCAGCCCAGACTCGCACCCAGCCCCGCAGAGGGTCAGTGAGAAAAGACCGCTGGCCTCAGAGCCAGCCGTCCTGTTAGGGACAGCCCCAGGCCACGTGACGCTGTACCCCGAGCACGCCACCATGCCTAGCGGGTCCCACGTGCGTTGACAGCCCCCACGTGTGGCTGCAAAGTCCACACGTGGGCACAGCCCTACTGGGGGCGGGTCACACACGTGTATGTGCACACGCACATCAGCCTGATGGGCCATGCAGACACTGCTCCTGAGTCGGGAAGTCCTGGTCAGACCCTCGCAAACGCACACGCAGGAGGAGACAGCTACACGGCACGGCCCTCAAACACAAAGGGCTGCCCTGGGCAGAGTCAGGTGCATGGCGTCCCCTGTCACCTGCGGTCAGACCACGCATGGCCACACACGCCGTCAGAAAGTCACAGACACAAAGATACGCCTGGACCCTAAAGCAGTCACGGGGAGGACCACGTTTGGCCCTGAAAAGCGAAGTCACACATGTGCACTAAAGCCCTTCCCAGGCTTGCCAGGACATGCACACGTACACCCCGGGTCTGCCATACTCGGGGTGACCCGCACCCAGGGCAAGGCCCAGTCCAGCACTGCTGGCCTCTCGGTGACCGCCCTGTGCTGTGGAGCTCCGCAGGGGCCCGGCCTGGCCCCACCAGGCCAACAGCTGCCCAACACCATGGCGAAACGGCCAGAAACACCTCCAGATGCTGCCAGGTCCCCCTCAGCCCCCCATCCCGGCCAAAACGACTGCCTCCCTCCCCACTGAGCATCACTGTCCTAAAGGAAAGATGGCCATGGTGCTGTCCCAGGTACTGCCAAGGGCCAGGGCGTCCCGGTTCTGGGCTCAGCTGGTGACTTGAACCAGGCATCCCCCACAGGAGCTGAGCACATGAACCGGGCCCTGGGGCAGGGAGGGGACACCCTGGAGGCAGGCAGGGCCTCAGCCACGGTCCCTGCAGACAGAAATGCCGACAGACACTCCCACGCCAGGGGTGTCTATCCACCACTTGGGGCCAACTCTGTTCCTCCTACCAGGGATGAGGGCCCAGCCTTCCAGTCTGCCCCCACCAGGGTTTGCACCCCCTGCCTCTCCCCAGCCCTTTGCCTCCAAAGCCCTTCTTCTCCAGGAGCCTGGTAGGGGGACCTCCTTGGAGGCCTTCCCCATCGACTCCATGAGCCCCCCAACCCCTACCCTCAGATCAGGTGCAGCTGGGATCCAGCCGGTCCAACTGCCTTCCGGACAGCCTCCACTGGCTGCAGGGCCTTTGACCCCGTCCCTGAGCACGGGTGCCTGGGTGTCAACATCTGTGTCACGAAATCCCCAGACTCCAGGGTCAGGAGGCCCCTCCGTGCTGTGTGACCTTGGGCAAGACCTTTCCCCTCTCTAGGCTTAGGTAAATGGGGTGGGGGTCAAGTTACCCTTCATTTGTTCAGAGCTGACCTTTTTTCGTTGTTGTTTTAAATGAGAGTGAGCTTGGGCAGGAGAGGGAGCCAGGGGGTTCTGACCGCGTCCTGCCCCAGCCTCCCAGCCAGCCACCACAGCAGGGGTGCAGCTGTTCCTGTTGCCGACGTGGCCTCAGCCATTGCATGATGGTGCCCTCTTGCTTGTGCACAGGGCTGGGCTGGGGCTGACCTTCTTAGTCTGTGGCCCACTCGGTCCCCGAGCCTGGCCCTCCTGCTGTCGCAGCCCCGATTCCCGTGGACGTGGCTCCTCTGTTTCCCTCGCCAGGAGGGAGCTCACCCAGGCAGGACCTGGGACCCACTCACCTCCAAGGCCCAGCACGGCCGCTCAGGTCTGGCCCACAGGAGGCCTCAAGGGGTGTTTAACAGAAACCACAAATGCACACGAGGGCCCCTCTAGGATCTCTGCCTGGACACTGACTCAATTTAGGGAAGCCCTTCCTGACTCCTCCAGGCCTGGTCTGCGATCTCACAATGCCTGGACTACCTCCATCAGGGCTCAGACACCATGGTGCCTGTCTGTGTCTGCCCTGCCCATCGGACTAGAGCCCGGTTCAGAGCCTGGTTCTGATTCAGGTCTGTGTTCCCAGCATCTCCCAGCACAAGGCCTGGCCCACTGGAGGCCTTGGGAAATATTCGTGACCGAATGAATGTACATGGATGCCGAAACGTGCTTCCCCGACTGTTGAACTCCTACTCATTCTTCAAGACCCCAGTGCAAGTGCCCCTTCTTCCAGAAGGACCTTCCTGACTATTCAATGCAGAGTCTCCTCTTCTGGGCACCCTCTGACTCAGCTGAGACGTGTCCACTGTGCCTCCCTCATCTGACCAGAGGTTCCCTGAGGACATGAGTCTTTGCTGGACCCCCCAAAGCTGGGCCTAGCTCGAAGCTGGGCAACGTCTGTAGAGAGGGAATGGATGAGAAAGCCCTGAGGAGTCTGGCATGGGAGATCAAATGTCCACCCCACCACTTCCTGGCTGGGTGATCAGGCCAGCCTGAGCCTCAGTTCCCCATCTGTAAACGGTTCTTGCCTGCAAGGGTTTAGGCGAGGGGTCCCACGAGAACGTGGAAGCAGAGTGTTTAGCCCAGCGCTTGGTGCGCTAAAGAAACACCTGCTGCGATCCCTGGTTTGCTACGCTGGAGGGCAGGGAGGGCACTGCGCGCCCAGGTCATTGGCTGCTCTGTCAGTGACTCACGCACCGACACCCTGCCCCAAAAGCATATGCTCTGAGGACACCAACCCAGCATGACCAGGCGACCAAGAAGACAGAGCATGAGTGCCGAGCTACCTGGGTTCAAATCTCAGGGCTGTCATAGAACCACCCAGCTCATTTTGCCTCTCCAAGACCTGGCTTCCCCACTGTAAATGGGATGACAGTCGTGGGGAGGATTAAGAGAGGTACTTTTGGGACTAGCAGATGGCATAGTGGTTACAGCCCTGGATTCCCACATGGCCGATAGCAGTTCGAGTCCTGGACCTGGGAGCTTCAAACTTACGCCCAGAGCATATGTGCTCATGCCCAAAATCCCAAGAGGAGGTGGAGAAGAAGGGATTGCAGCATGGCCATCCCCCCTGAGGGGTGCTTTCTCGCTTTCTGTCTGTCTCTCCTGTGAGCACGCACGCCTATAGTAAACATTTCTCTGAGATAAGAGAGGGAGGTACTTTGACTAGGGGGTTCAGAGTGGTGCCTGTGAGCTGAGGGCTGGCCAGTGGCCGTCCCCGCCATAAGGGCTGCTGTAAGGATGACTACAGGGCAGGTGCCAGTGAGGAGGGAGGTGTTCGGCGTTGACCGGAGGGGTCCCTGCCTCG